TCTTGAATCCGTTATCGTGAATTTCTATCGCCATTTCGCCTTTGCTCGAATAAAGTATGGGAGGGTTTATCACAAAATGGTCTGGTAATTTAGTGAATTTCATGACAATTATACGAATATACATCTCGATGAGAAGATATTTCACCCATCCTCGCCTCCAAAAAGGGATTATCATCTAAAGTGGACCGAAATTGCTTACTAGACTGAATGAAACTACCAAGTGTGTGACAAGACCGAATGAGATACAATGGCGTCGTGACGACTGGTCTTAGCGCTGTAGGAAAGTATTCCCATCCACCCTGTATCATCATATAACCGTGCTGCCAGGGTGACCTCGAAGAGTGTCTATCACTCTGCGTCGTTTCTCTGAGTAGATATATCTCGCTACATTCCCATACCAACTGGTTCGTCACGCCTACACATGAGTTAAGTTCAAAGGTCAGAAACCTACCCATCCGACTGTACAGATTCATTACTAAGGCGTTACAAAAACATTTACTAGTTTGTCTTGCCCTTTATTTTAAGCATAAAACGGACAGTAAAAGGTTGAATCCGGTTTGATGTGTCACCTTTGGTGGGGTACTTTGTGTTAGCTTCTCATGCTTTTAGCGAGTTGTGAGGATAGAAGAATTACACATTTTGGACAGAACGTATAAGAAGTAAAAGCAAAATACTGTGGATGATCAAAACATCTCTCTGATTAGTGTATCCAGTTTTTTGAAAGTATTTAATATTCCTGATTTGCTTATCTACACGATTAGTTGGAAAAATGTGCCAAGCTGTTGGCTTCTGATGTGCATTGCCTGGGACCCAGGGCGCTCTTGGCCTGTACTGATCCCAGAGCCTGGTCAGTTTACCCAGACAAACAAGCCAAAGTTTGCCAAACGCAAAAGGACTTCGAGTGATACCAATCAGTCGCAGCAGTTTCCAGTCCGTAGGCTTGGCGATTTTTTCGTGCAATTCGGTATTTCTCAGCACCCCCTTCAAGCTGTCGACCATAGTGAGTTTTAACTCCTCCATGGCCAACTGTGTCTGGGTGCTGTTTCCTGGCAATACTTCCTTCTTTGTGTCCAACCGTCTCATCCGAGGCGGTGAACGGCTGTGCAACGAGCTGGACAAACCTGAAGTTACTGAGCGGGAAGAGGATGGTCTGAGAGTTGCCGAGGAAACAGAGGAGGCAAGAATGGATGGCGAAGAGTGGATGGCAGCCTTGTCGATAGATTCACTCCTGGAAGCTGATGATTGTTGGGCGGAAGATGAGGACAAAGTGAAGCTGTTGGTTGTCGAGTTGTCCAGTAGAGACCGTTTTGGTCCGTCAAAAACACCACATTTTGTCCCAGGCATTCTCAGAGTGAGGCAGGCCAAAAGGACCACACAAACAGCCTGTGAAGATTGCCGCCGAAGCGGGCGATGATAGGGGCACTCACAGTTGGCTGATCTGGATTTCCGTAGCATCGGCCTAGGCTGAGCCGGAACAAATGACTTTTAAACGAGCATAGCTGCTCATTGAACCAGCAGAGGTCTGCTTTCCGCGCATGTGTCTGCCGGAAATTGCGCATCCGACCAAATAACCTAATTTATCTGCCTCCCCGGCTCATATACTTGTGGGAAAATTCAACAATCAGTCCTTCGTCACCTTATGCGACCGAGGATGACTATAACTCTGATTCCAGATCTACTGATGGACACAACACCTACTTTTCATGAATATAAGTAGCATAGTTGAAGTGATCATAAAATATAAGTTTAGGATTAAATGGGTTTTAAGACGACCGGTAGACCTTGAATAGGAGCTGATTCTCTTACGTTCTTATAAGTTTCTGAAGGGCTGATGGTGAAATTTGTCAAA